AATCCAGCGGGTTTCTGGTTATCGGCTTTATAACGTTGACAATCTGGACAGCCCTTTACATATTCCATTACAAACCGTCTCATACCAGGGAAATAATATCTTTTAGCTATACGCTGTAAGATTCTCTCAGCCCCATAATGTGAGGCAGTGGGAGAGTCATGGTACTCTTCCAGAACACGTTTGAGTTGCATGTACAGGGACGACAAGTTGAGCTTCTTCTACATCTTCTGCTGGTGAATAGCGATAGAGGACTCCATTTGACATGATATACCCACGGCCCGTCCATTTGACAAAATCATTATTAGTATGTTCTTCGAAGCTTTTGATGATCTTTTCGACATCAGGATCCTTGAGTTGTTCTTGTCTAATCTCGGAAGCAGTGCGTTTAGGAAGCTCAATTGCAACATAACAAGCATCACAACTGTCTTTAACCTCATGGGTGCAAGGAGGTCGAGATAGGGTATACGCTACCACATTTCGTTTTCCTGGTAAATAGTCCATTTTTAAGTCATAGCCTTGAACTTGCAATACTTTTCAGATGCGTCAACCTTTTCTAGGCCTCTAAGTTGGGCGCCAGTTGTAGGATTAATAAAAAGGTCGGGGTGCTAGAAATAAGTTGACTCCTTTATTTTCTAAACTTATAATACACACACATGGTACATAGGTTATGTATCTAGGCGCACTGAACGCTTTTTCGCTTGCCGGTCCCCTAGCGGTGGTTTTTGCAGGTGAGGCTGGCACGGGCGACAGGGTCGGCATTAGGTGATTTGCTACAACTTACAATTTTACTTGATAATAAAAGTCCCACGTTGTGGTTAATTTGAAAATCGTTAAGTTACACAGTGTGTGAACGAAAAATTGAGCCACCGTCTGATTATAGACTACTTCAGTGAAAATAAGAACATTTAGACTAATTTACCTAGATGTATACAGACCCAGGTTTACTGAAACGTAGTCCGCTGAATGTGATACCATATAAAACAGTATTTTTTACCATCACTATGAAACTACTTAGAGATTTTTTATTCGATACACGTCTTTGTTTATTTAAGTGTAATATATTTCACCAATAGACACACTCACATACATACATTTGGTACAGTCGACTCTTTTAAGAAAATTCTTTTGCATACTTGCGACTGAATTTAGTTGATAACTCTCCGAATTTCTGAATTTATTAATTCAGGAATGGTATTCATTTGAATAGAATAAACTTTACGAATCCCCACAGGAAAAAGTCGCATGGCGTAAGATCGCATGATATTGGTGGCCAAGTCACTTCACTGTTACGTGAGATGAATCATCCATTAAACTTCCGTAACAAATGGATAGCTTCACATGCCGTATGGTAGGTAGTCGATTCTTCAACGAATGTCCTGCGCATTAAATAGTCGTCTGGTTTAAATTCCTGGGTTAGCTGAATCTTGAATGTATGCAGATGCAGATCATTTGTTAAAATCCACTACATTGTGTTTTTCGAAATGTTTAATTGTAGTGACTGACGGCGCACTAAGGCTACGGGAATTTCCGCCATACTATCACCCACCGCACCGTAGCAATATTTTCAGCTAAACGGCCAGTACGAGGCCGGCCTTTATTGTCTGCAACCAACCTGTTTGTGCAAATTTGGCAACTAATCTTTTCGCAGTTGGTATTTCACCTAATTTGCGCACACTTTCCAATACTTGTAATGAATTTTCACAATCTTCACTCGCTCATTCATCGTATAGCGCTCCATTTTGTCTAATCGCAACGTGTTTAATAACACCCTGCACAATGCTGTTAATAGACTACAGGCCCGTGTCAAAAATTGATGGGTTATTTGAATCACCAGGAGACCTATTTAGAAAGATACAAGGGCATAAAATAATAAGATTCAGCACTATGCCGTCACTTGTAAGCTGTCCAACTGAGTGCAGGTGAGAATTCAAAAGCACAGGTAGAGGGAGTAAATTTTGGTCATATATTTTTGTACGGCATTCTTACCATCGATAGATCCATGAAAAATAATAAGAAAACACGTAGTGCCGTACAAAAATAGTGCGCCACAAAGTCGGAAAAATTTTTGATTTTCCGGCGATTTTCAGGGTAAATTTGGTCATTTGATCCTGTACGGCATCGGTTCCACACAATTTCAATACCTCTTCTAATCCATTATTCCGCAACGCCGTACAAAAATCATGGGACAAGGGAGAAAAATCGAGGGTTGCAATCCCCTCCCCTTCCGTGGTCCGGGGGGTGATTTGAAAAAGTACGGCATCGGTTCCAAAACATTATGTAGCACTCAAAAGTACTATTAAAAATAATGCCGTCAAAAAATTATTGTTCATTTGAATCTATATCAATAATTACCTTAATTTAATCGTATATTTGATTTATAAAGCTGTAAGGTCATTTGATCCTGTACGGCAACTTTTTTTTTAACATGATATTGCTAAATACAATTGTTATATCATATTGCCGTTAAAAAAAAAATGTTAAAAAAAAATTATAGAGAAAAACAAAAAATGCAATTTTTCAAATTATTGCAAAAGTTTAAATAATCATAGATTAATGAAATATAGCAATTTTCTAAATATTATTGTTGTTTTAAATAGTATTCAGGTAAATAAATTAAGAAAAAATGATGCCGTACATTTTAATGCAGACCATATTTTTTGGATGAAAATGACACTACCATTTCAGGGGTACTTTGGTCATCTGATACTGTACGGCATTCACATATTTTTGAAGAGAACAGTTTTTAGTTTTTTGTTAATAAAATTGAAGCTATTGTAGCAATCGCAATGACAACAGACAAGTTGTAGGTATTTAAAAGACGAACAAAATGAGATATCGCGCGACACGATCGGATAATTAGAAACGGAGAAAACTTCGGAAAACCGGAAAATTCGTCCTTTATTCAAAAATTTCAATCTCCGTTGTTTTTTAACTTGTAGGTCTGAGGTTTAAGGATCAAGTAGTAATGGACATGTACTTTTACCATGCGAAAAACGGACGCTGTGCGATTATTAGTTTTTTCGCAATTGCCATTTTTGTAAAATCGTACCATTAATTGTAAAATCGCCTGATGCTCGGGAGATAGTCCGATTTGAATTCTGGCAACGGATTCTTAAACTTTACAATTACGGGAACAAAACGTCTATGTCAGTTTTTAGAAAAAATGTTTAGAAGTATGTTAAAAATGAATCGGAACATGGCTCAAAACGACCCAGCGCGCGGAAACTACGGAGTAGTGGGGGGACCATGCTCGGCGGAGAGGCATTTCTCCTCAAGATCTTTGGGCAATTGGATTGAAGCAACATCCATGGATCTTCTGGAGGTGTTAGGTTGCTGTTTATTCCTAATCTCAATCGCTTGGATGCAGTTTTTTAAAATTGCACTCGATAAACATTTTATCCGGTTGTCAATCGGATCACCCGGCAAACCACAAATGAAACAAACACGTTCTTGCTCTTTTTCTTGAACAATTCTTTCACTTTCACTGGAATTTTCATTCTCCTCGAGGTCCGACATGATCGGAGTGCTCGACCTGTCAGTGCAAGATTACTAAAAAGGGACTAGGTTGGCTGGTAAGTGTCGACCAATCACAGCGCAGCAGAACGACGCGTCATTTGGAGGAATGACCGGAGCGGGAGTCACATAATATTCAGTATTTCTACAGCAAGGTACAGTATTTACGCAGAATAAACTGTTCGAAATCGAGTTGTCACGATTTACTTTTGTCTTTTTTATCAATATGAACTTTAAGATTTGTACGGTATTGACTTTTTATAGACGATTGCATTAAATACAAATAAACTATCTAAATGCCGTACAAGAAAATATCGTACTAAATATCACCGTAAAGTACATTTCGTTACATGGATTTTTCGGGAGTTTTTTCCCCCCTACAGACCCTTGGGCCAAAAAATATGTACGGCATGTCACAAAATGTTATCTATGCATAAAATACTTTCAAAATAAATTAATTTTATGTTGTGTCAAATCACCCCCCGGACCACGGAAGGGGAGGGGATTGCAACCCTCGATTTTTCTCCCTTATCCCATGACTTTTGTACGGCGTTGCGGAATAATGGATTAGAAGAGGTATTGAAATTGTGTGGAACCGATGCCGTACAGGATCAAATGACCAAATTTACCCTGAATCGCCGGAAAATCAAAAATTTTTCCGACTTTGTGGCGCACTATTTTTGTACGGCACTACGTGTTTTCTTATTATTTTTCATGGATCTATCGATGGTAAGAATTCCGTACAAACATATATGACCATAATTTACTCCCTTTACCTGTGCTTTTGAATTCTCACCTGCACTCAGTTGGACAGCTTGCAAGTGACGGCACAGTGCTGAATCTTATTATTTTATGCCCTTGTATCTTTCTAAATAGCTCTCCTCGTGATTCAAATGACCCCTCAATTTTTGACACGGGCCTGTAGTCTATAACTCTTCGGGACGAAAATGACGCACAATTCAAATCCTGCGTTACTTTTGGGACACCCTTTATATATGTTGGTCTAAACCGTCATATTTTCATTGGTTGATGGTCTTGCAATGTCCTAAACTTTTTGAGACAACCTATATAATAACTGCCTGACAAACAATTTGTAAATATGCTCCTGTTCCAGTTGATGTATCTATTGTTGTAGTCAATAAAATAATTTCCAAGTAAATTACTCTACTCTTTCAGACGGGCATTTTATAATCTATGAATTTATAACTAAATAGGGAGCCTACTACTTTGTTATTATCCTTTTTTTTCATATAAAAGAAAGTAGGTAACAGTTCATTCTTGCACGGTACGCAAGTATATGTAATATAAATAATAATTTACGTAAATCCAAAACTCGTTCTCAGTCGAGTACCTTTTTTTTTTAATCAATTTAAATTTATAAAGATATTATCTGAAGATTAAATCAGTTCATTGATAAACATATATCATATATCACATATCATTCTGTAAATTAATAATTTAATATTCATTATTATTTTGTCTTTTAGCTTTGGCATGCTGGATAATTCTATTAAGACTATTTCAAATGGAGTCGTGCTACGAGCATTTACGCTACAAAAAGAAGTTGAAGAAGTGGTAGATTCAAATAGCATAAAAATGAAGACAACAGGTAAGTAATTTATAAATATAAGGAATTATTAATATTATTGTTCTTAAACGTTATGCAGAGAATACCTAAATTCCTTCATAAAACTTAATGGTGAATTCCAAGTTACAAACTGATGAAAAACTCTCATAAATGTCATAAAAGTAATATTGAAAGTTAGAAAACTTTTGATATCAAAATTCCAATATAGCAGGACCGGATTGGGAACATTTCTATTTTTTATGACTTGAGTGGAAAATGGAATATTTTTTCAGCTAAAAGTATTTGAAACATTGACAAAAGTCACTCAATTGGATATTTCCGTTACTTGTTGGAATTATGAGATTCTTGTAACAAATCTTTGAATTAGTTTTTCAAATATTATTTTAGCAATGTTAAATAGTTAGAGCTAATTTGTTTACTTATCACATCGCAAAAGTTTCCAGTGAGGGTTGCTTGCGGTATGTAGCAAAATAAAACTCTCTCAACAGTAAAAATAAAAGTATTTTTATTGAAAACAAAGTTAGTGAGAAAGAAATGTTGTCGGGGCGAGCGTTCGCTGGAGAATCTTGGTATGGAGTCGCTGGCATGTATATATGTATCTGGTCTTGGCGCTAATCTGCCATGGACTTTGACGTAATACTTAACATGGGTCACTTGTGGACATGCGTATCCACACCAGTATATATTTTTTCGGGAGTGTTTTTATTTTTAATTAATCTATAATCTATTATCATTATAAGTTTTATATTTTTTTATACAAATATACATAGGAAATTTTTCCGATGTGTCAAGTGGATAAAAATATTCACATTAATGCCTGCAAAATCTGTAAAATGTAAAAGTACAGTAGGTAACTGTTGTCATTGCTAGAATAGTATTGAAATGTTGATTTAAAAGATAACCATGACATTGTTGAAGGGATAAGAAAAAATCAAACACATGTTTTTTTTCAATAGTTCATGTATTTTTAGTATGCTATATGAAATAGTAGAAAAAGTATATTGGACTTTTCAGTGGAGCTTTAAAATAGAATTTTTATCCTGTACGGTCCTGGAGTTATGAAAGTGTGACTTCCAGAGTTCGTTAGTTTTGGTTTTTGGTGGTTCAAGACGTGTATCAAAAACAAATTAATTCCCATAAATGGTTAAATGATAAATTAAAACAAATTTTAATAAAAATGCAAACATCACCCTGTATATCAACTCGTCTAATTTGTCCCATTCTGCCATTAGATACAATATATATAGATTGTTAAATACAAGAAAAAATTCGTAAAAAGTTCTACGGAATCAGAATAGAAGAACACTTCAACATTAATTTAAAAAGAATATGGCCAACAAATGTAATTTAAAACAAAGTCTCCATTTATTTGCTGCTACAGTTCGCAAATGTCGTACAAAATATGAACAGAATAGTGATTTAACTTCATCAACTAACTGGATGCTAATTTTTCGAAATGGTTGCTGCTGAATTATTCCTGTGTTTTCTATCATAATTACTTCTTACGTGAATTTTGGGATACCCTTTGATTTGAAATTTGAAAATTTTGTAAGTATTATTTCGTTCGTAAATGATAAAACTATGACATATTATAAAATATCGTATCACCGTACAAAATATTGTATCCGATGCAATGCAAAAATATACGAGGTTATTTAAAAATAAGTACCGATGAAATTCACTTTTAGTTGAAAGGAAGTTTAACAAAAAAAATAACTGTATAGTGTGACTATAAGTAGCTATCATTTTGTGCAAAAATATAGGACATTTTTCTCAAAAATCAGTTCTTCGGCTATATCTTATTAAATTGATGTTCAGTTGTTTTTCTGATAGCATACCTATTCTGATTGCGCAGGGTTTTTTTACACATGCCTACATATGTTCCATTCAAATATTTTAATAGCAATAAAGTGAATCGCTTTAAAAAGATAATTGTGGAAAGTATACGAACGACTGTATTGAATTATCATATTAAATGCATGCACATTTTTCTTATTTATATTATGTTTAAAATTGTATCTTTGTAGCCGAATTATTTTAATTCCGAAATGTTTACCATCGATATTATTATTTTCTGCAAAACTCAATACTCAAATATTTTTGAAACTGTACAAAGAAGTGCCACTACACGGTAATTAGCCCTTACTTGAGCATTTATGTGGGACCCAACGCGAACAAATTTTTTTGTCGGCCAAATGTTCGTACAATATTGATTGCATGATGGTCTCACTAACGCATAGCATCAATGTTTTCTGGAACAAAAACCGATTTTGGATGACCTTCACGACATATTAGGCAATTTTAAGGGTCTCACTTTGTATCTCCTTAATTTAGCCATGAAAGTGATTTATTATTAAATATTAATTAAGTTCAACTTGCTTTTACCTGGGCACTGAAATTTAACTTATTTAAATAAAAAAAAATCCCAGACAAGAATGATCTTAAATAGAAAAAATTATCTCTTCCCTGTGGGGTGACTTTCCAGAATTTACGACGTAAGTCACAATAAGAAAGTGCAAAACGTTAATTAGTAAAAAAATACCACTGAAATGAAAGTTAGGATAAGGTGTTACTTTGAATTTAACATACACAGATAATCATGTAAAATTACCTATTTTCATCACCATATTCATTATTGAATATAAGTGATACAAATACTGTATCACTTCCCTGCCGGCTACAGACACGTTAAAATCACCGCTAAAAAAAGTACGCGATGTTGCCGTTCTTACTATTCAGTAAGTATGGAGTGATGATAGCCTAATGAAGCTCATGTTTCGGCCAAATTGTTAAGTTAGCTTGCATGAATTAATTTAATAACCTTAATTTGATACAAAATATATATTTATTCACTGAGAATAAATGGTAAATTATTGGTTTAAAACGCATCGCATATACTTAAAATTTTGTAAATTTCACATATAAATTATCGTGAATCAGCATTTTTGTAATAAGTTTGAGGGATGAAGTTGTTTTTACTAAAGTAAGACCAATTGGGCGTCTAAAAATATTCTATCATGATAGCAAACATTGATGATATTTTCAAAGACTCTGACACTGAGGGAAGTAATGTCGGTAGCACCACCAGCATTTTAAGATTACCAGATATGACTGGTTTTATGAATGACCTGACATTGAACATAGCTGATCCCGATGGCTTGTTGGACATATCCAGTTTGGATACAGATTCCAACGCACTATTTTCAGAAGATGAAAAACGACGAGATAAGAAGCGAAAAATGAATAAAAACACACTATAACAGAAAGAGATCAGAATTGGAAAGGAAAAACTGAAAAGAGAGGTAAAGAAAAAAGCAAATAACCCAAAGCCTAAAAACAACGTCAAAGTCAAGTATGGCTGTAAGGGTACTTTTGATTTTTGAATTAATAAATATTTCATTAATCATTCACTATTCTAAATGTTTGTTTTATTAATCTTACTTCGCTGGATAGGTTGTCATTTCCTTGGTAGCTACAATAAACAAATATATAATATATATTTTATTAATTTCAAGTTAGTTTATGAAATTCATTGTGTTCAAAATATAATGGCAACTTTAAACACCAACCAATATGATTTTAGATTTAATTTTCACTTTCCTCTACATGTTCTCATTTCCCTGTGCGGAGAAAATGGAAAAACAGATATAAATGAATATTTACCGTAGTTTTGTCTGGCCCATTTGAGATTGGTTATATGTTATAGTACATTCTTGACCCCTAATTGTTTTTTCCCAATTATCGACAAAAAATGGGGCTCTCATAATTGTTGTATTTAATTCCACCGTGAGTAGAACTACCCTTATATAAGTTTATTTATTGTTATTTTTTTACTCTTTTAATCTAAGTAGTGTGTAGCAAAATAAGTATCTACTCGAATAAAAAAAAACTAAGAAAAACCACCATATAAATATTTTTCAGGTACCTTAACATTAGCCAAACATGTATATAACATTGGTTCTTACTTTCTGTTTTTTTTATATAATATTACAAACGTGTAACTTGAATGAAATAACATGCTGAGAACAACGTACCTTCAATCAAATATGAACGATAGATAAGTGTGAAGTGGACCTTATGCTATTTACTTATTAAACAATCAGTTTTAGATAAAATAATTAACACAAATAATGTGAATATGTAAGTAGTTTTATCGCGATTATATATAGCTCAGTCTTTGCCAAGTTAATGTGCTTAATTTTGCATCTTGGGAGAACTTTTTAAGTTACGAAACATAAATGGAAAAAACAAGAGGTTAGTAAATCAATGTATCTCTATGTAGAATTAAATCATATTCTTCCTTTTCTAAATAGATCTAAATTTCGACTTAATATTAAAATAATAGATACATGTTAAATATTAAAACAAAAATATTTATACCTAATATTTATTAAATATTATTTATGATTAAGTTGCAAACATTGAATGATATCATTTTTTCTACTCAACTATTTTAATTTTAAAATATTGTTGAAAATTATTTCGGATGCTATAGCGTATTTTTATCCAAAATGATCACATTATTCAAAATAATTAAAAGTAGCAATAGAATTTATTACGGAGCGTTTAAAATATTTTCATACAATTTTGGACATATTGTGCCACTTTTAAATTTACTTGATGATTATTTTGGAAATAATACTTTATCTGCAATTTTTTGAAGTAGACGTCTGTACCTACCTTCATTCCTGCGCACCTTCAATTATTAAATTTATAATGCTTCTTCATCAGCAATTTACTCTTTAAAAATTTCTCTTTCAATAACGGTATGGACTTTTTGGGGTATATTGTATATATTTATTATACTTATAAAATCAGGACCTATTCAAGGTTGCATCCTCGTTGAGTAAATTATACATATTTATTTACCTACTGATACAGTAACAATATATTAACATTGATAACAACTGTAAGTACTGATAAATATCGTATTAGTTATAAACATGTTTTAATCATTTTATAAATATCAATTATTTTTTTTCAATACAGTAATTCCTAGTACAACATTTGCAAATGTTTAT